AAACTTCACTGAAGGATTTGACGGGTACGTCAATCGGATAGTGGAGCTGGAATCTTGAATTCGACATCGACGGCTAGGGTCTCGAAGGTACGAGCTAAATACGCCTGTTTTCCTATACGCATCAGAGTACGCACATTGAACGTGGCTAGTTTGAACGGACATCGAGGAAGAAGAAGAGGTACAACTGGTGGAGGAAGATTCGGTGAGACTTGGACGCGAGAAGTAGGGTTGGAATTTCCATAGGAGGCACAACTGGTAGTACGATTGTCTGGAGATCTGAAGAACAATGGGAATGTTTGAGGGGAGTGAATGTGAAGTGGAGGCAAAATTGGAGAATAGGAAGATGTTCACGGTGTGAAGCGTTTTTTATGCAAGAGGAAGACTGGTAGAACGAATTATTGATAAAGCTGAGGTTCATTTTTTGCATTGTGGGCTGTTGTACTACGCGGTCGCCCTGTCCAGAGTACGCCTTGTTCGAAGATGCCCTCTTGCTTCTATGCAACCAAGCTCGAACTACAAGGCAGCAGTATTTTTCCAGATAAGCCGGTGACCGGTCGGTTGGTTCATTCGCCTTCTCTGGAAGACCTTGTCGGGTAGATGGAATTCGACAAGGGGTCAATGGCCGTATTCATTGGCGGACCACACTCGTCACATCGCAGTGCTGTCAGAAGATGCATGTGGTGTTTTGAGTGGAGAACCCTTGCCAAGTGGTAAACCCACCACATCCTCGAGCACTGCCGCTGATCTTCCGCGACCGCTTGTTCAGTGAGAATAAACCAACTGTTCGTAATTAGATGTTTCTTCCCCTGTGTCCGTTAGACTACTGGTGAGTAGCATACAGCGTTTATTTTCCCAACAGTTAGACTCGGTTTTTGTGCATCCCACGGCGTCTACAGTGCGATTGCTCCTTCGTCTCGTCCCTCTCACCCGTGGCCTTAAATAAGTAAATTCCCTCTGACCCTTTCTTTGATCTGATTGGATCATATTCCGCGATCTGCGGCGTTTGAAATCCCTCGCCCCAACACGAGACTGTCTGATTACCGGCTTGCACGTTTTCTAATGCTGTCGTTGTTACGTCCAGTCCATCCGAGTGCTGATGGCTACACAGTCGAAGTTCACTGGGTCTGCCTGAGACTCACAGCTGTGAAAAAGGTGTGGTTTCTAGCTCGGATTAGCTGGGCGAACACCAGGGATCTTGTTGCGACTGACCGATCGATAAACGAACCCGATTTTTGGGCCGGCACTGGAGGAGGATAGGTTCCGAATCCGATGCTACCTAAATGTTGTTAGAGAATCACCACAAAAGAACCAGTTGTGGAGCGGTGAGCCATGTGGGAGATTCCGAATGGAAAATGCTCAAGCGATTATGACATTGAGCCAACGCTTGACTCGTCTAAGATACACGCACTATTTTTCGAAGCGAGTTCGGTAAACAGATAATGATATTAAAACTTTGAACTTGTTTTAATAACGGACAACAATATCTCCTAATGTACAGTTGTTGATGAAACTCGTGCAACATCACCCTGATTTTGGAAACATACAATCGCACTGTATATTCATGAAATTTATGTATTCTGCTAGCGTATTTACCGGATCTTTAATGCTGTGATTTCTAACTGCCTATTCATAAGGTTGTATTTTCCCATTGGCATAAAAGTTTTCTGAGCGCTTGTTCTGCGAGTAAAAACCTGCTGCCAGTAGGGCCGCCGATTACCCCCCTGGTCGACACACTCGTTACCCCTACACCACACGTACTTGATGAGGGATTGTTTACTGCTTTTGTCAATGCTGCCCTCTGATACGCATACCTTTGATTAACACCGCCTCTTTGTATCGCACTCCGACTTGCTAACATTGACTACATTTCACCCCAATCCATTGTTGTTTCCTTCTCTGTTGTTTTATTCCGGAACTTAAATGTATTGTAAGCCTTTTCTATACCGTACCG